GGGTCTTATATTAATTTTAGTCACAAAAAACACACGCTTATTTTCAGGGTAGGGCTTATTTATTTACGGTACCGGTATGTACATTGAACCCCCCCTTTAATTAATCCACCCCCCCTTTAATAAATCCACCCCCCTCTAATTAATCCACCCCCTCTAATTAATCCAGCCCACCCTTTAATTAATTCACCACCCCTTTAATTAATTCACCCCCTCTAATTAATCCATTAATTCACCCCCCTTTAATTAATTCACCCCCTCTAATTAATCCAGCCCACCCTTTAATTAATTCACCACCCCTTTAATTAATTCACCCCCTCTAATTAATCCAGTCCACCCTTTAATTAATTCACCCCCCTCTAATTAATCCAGCACCACCCCTTTAATTAATTCACCACCCCTTTAATTAATTCACCCCCCTCTAATTAATCCAGCCCACCCTTTAATTAATTCACCACCCCTTTAATTTCACCACCCTCTAATTAATCCAGTCCACCCCTTTAATTAATTCACCCCCTCTAATTAATCCAGTCCACCCTTTAATTAATTCACCCCCCTCTAATTAATCCAGCCCACCCTTTAATTAATTCACCCCCCTTTAATTAATTCACCCCCCGCCCCCTTTAATTAATTCAGTCCCAGACATAAAATATCTACCGGTACTCACATTTCAAAGATTCCTTGCCGAGTCCGACCACTGGGTGCCTCACCGCCCGGAAATGGATCCTTCCGCTGAAGATCCGTGAAGGCAGACTGACGGCGCTGCGCACGTCGTCATCACGTTGCGCGATGCCGCGGCCCGCAACGCTCCTCCTCCTCATAGAAGAAGGAAGTCCCGCCGGGCCGTAAGGTGCAATGCATAGGTCTTATTTTCGGGGTAGGGCTTATATTGCAGCCCACCCCGAAAATTCAGCTAGGGTTTATTTTCGGGGTAGGGTGTATTTTCGGGGAAACACGGTATGCATTTATAAGCAGGAAATTGGCATGTGAAAGAAAACCTGAATATCTATTAACTAATCCATTTCCTGGGAGGGGAGGAGGGGGCTCTGTACAGGTCAGAGGGAATAAAGATATTGGGGCGAGAGATGTTTAAATATAATAGATGGGACATTTAAATTGACTTAGAAGGGAGTATTATTGGGCTCTACCAAACAGGGGAACTGTCAAATCTCTGGATTTCTTTAGAGAGAAGAAATTAAATGGGGTTGCTAGGTGAAGGGCATTTTTATTAAAATGGACTGAAAAGTAAACAATTCATTTAGCCATTATTCTGATTGTATTTATTAAAGTGTTAATATATATATAAATATTTATATTAATGTGATCTGAAAATGGACATGATTCTTAACTTAAAATTTTACCTGTTTTCTCAAAAATTTCTATTTCGTTTAAGGCAAAGGAAAGGTTTTTTTACTGTAAGAACAATAAGGATGTGGAATTATCTGCCTGAAGAAGTGGTTTTATCAGCGTCCATACAGATTTTCAAACAGCTTCTAGATGCATACTTGCAAAAACAGAATATTCAAGGATATAATCTTTCAATGTAGGGTAATAGCTGATTGATCCAAGGATAAATCTGACTGCCATTCTGGGGTCAAGAAGGAATTTGTTTCCTAGCTTGTTGCAAAATTGGAAGTGCATCAAACTGGGTTTTTTGCCTTATTTTGGATCAACAGCAAAAAACAAATGTGAGGTAGGCTGAACTTGATGGACGCAAGTCTCTTTTCAGCTATGTAACTATGTAACTTTGTATTTCAGAATACCGCCAAATATAGCATTATGGAAAAGCGAGATTAAAAATACCACTTTTTTGGCAGAAAAAGTGGCAGAAAGATTACTAAATTGTCATAAAAATTGTGTCTGTTTAAAATGACTAATAAAAGAAGCAACAGATGAAAAACACGCCAGATTTTGTAAATGCGAAAATTTAGAATGGACTAAATTCTGTGAAAAATGTCCGAAATCCAACCAGAAGTTTCATTTGGTCAGAAGCAATCAGTGTACATTTAAATCAGTGCTTTCCCATTTGTATCCTATACAAGTGAATGATAATTTGTACTATTTTCCTGCAGACAGCTCCAGCAGCCAGTGGGCAAATCATTAAAAAAAAAAAAAGGTTAACCATGTGGCAGCTAGCCAGCACTTGCTAGCTAGCTGCCTCATTAAAATGTGTAAAATGTGTCAATATAACGCCCCTTATGACTCCACCTGCCATGCCGCATGTCTGGGCATATCTACTAAAAAGTGAGCAGTTATTCGCTGTAACTAAACACCAGAAGCAGGGCAGCCATTGTTTCCCAGTAGTTAAAAATGCCCATTTCATAGGGTTGGGGCCTGTTAAAAAACAGAGGGGCCTCTTTCCCCCCAGCCCCAACCCATTGGTGATGGGTGTGAACTCTAATTAAATATACACGAGGGAGGTGGACAAGCCACCGTCCATCCTCCAGTTGTCCTTAAGTCCTCCTCTCCTCGGTCACCAAGCCCTTAGCCACCTTCCCATGGGCTCACAAATATTATTTGTTGCATCCCGGTTTTAATTATTTTCGCCTGTATTTTTGTGATTTGATTTTTTTTATTACTAGCTTTGGGAAATATTGGATTCTTTTGACATTTTTGGGGGCTGAAGAAAAAAAAGATTTACGAAGATAGAAGATATCTGATGGTAGCTATCATTTTATTAATTTTTTACGTGTATTAGTTCTATTCCCCCTTAAAAACTTTTATAGGGTGTGGGGCTAGATAAGGTACTTTTTATTTGAGGTGGTGTGGCTATGGGCTTGGTGACCCATAGCCAACTTGTTGGGTGAGTTAAGGGCAATTTGGGGGAACGAGACAATGTCATGTCCACCCCCCACCTTTTAATATTTAATAAGAACCCTATGTGTGACGGCGGTGGGAGGGGGTGCTAGGTCACCCATTTGACCGGGTGGAGGTGGGCAGGACATTAGGATGTTCTTTATTTAATAGTCCCCCACTGGCCATGGTGGGAGCAGGGGGATGGACGGTTATCTGTCCGTAACCAACTATTTAATTCCACTAGCTGCTTGCTGTTGTGAATATTTGCCAAGGAAAATAAACGTTTAACTTTTAAAGTCTCTGACACTTTTAAATAACAGATTTAGAAGGGTGATTACTGTGATCGCCATGACTGTTGCTTGCAAAAGAGTCTTTTGATATTATTACACATTTTTACATTCCTGCATGTGTGAGCTATAATACAGGATCTATCTTCATCACCATTTTACAAGCAAGGTACAGCCTGGGATTCTGCCTTATACAAAGTAGCCCTCTACAGACTGTGAAACTGTATGTCAGTAAATAGCAAAACTTCACTGGAAGGACCAGAAAAAAGGTTTGTACGTCTCTGCATGCTAAATGCAGGCCTGTGTGCCGAGTGAGCTGCGATTAGGCGGCATAACCGTATGATATCTTTGGCACATTTTCAAATCTCCCAATACAATAAGCTGAAAACAAGTGTGAAAAGCCAAAACGCTGTGAGAGCCCACCGCTGTCTAGCAGCCACATTGCAGATTTACCTGCAAATTAAAAAATAAATCCGCCCCAGAGTCCACGCTTATCTTCTAAAAGGCAGCCGGATTAGGCTGGGATCAGGGTTATAAAAGTAAAAAAAAAGAGCGTCTTTTTCTCTCTGTATCAAAATGAATGTTGTGTTATCTCAAATTCCCTATTGCTTTTTTTTCAGGTTAAAATAACACTTTCATATTCTGCCTTTAGACTCAGCGCATGCATTTTCTTGTATAGATTAGCTTGTTTTACAATACATTGAGGGTGGCTTCTTTATATTCTAACTGTAACTATTTGGAGATGTGTTTATGTCAACTTTAGTGTTTTGACCCAAGGAAAAAAGGCTTTAATTTCACCATAATGTTATTGTGATACCGTAAAAGAACATTGATACACAGCAGAGAATGCATTCCATTTAATGTTTGTAAGTAGTCACAGGAGTCCAGAAACAGGTGTGGGAACTGGGAAGTGAGTTGTTAATGAGCCGGCACTAAAGATATGAGTCATGATAAGCAAATATCATTTTAGGGGTTTCTGAAATATTTTTACTCTAAGAAAGATATGGTAATGGTTAAAGTTGGGGACTAATGAATAGCTTGAAGCAAACGTGAAATGAAGTCTACTTGATATGGCATCATAGAAATAGCCACCTTCACTGATTTCTAATGATGAGCACAAAGTCAAAATGCGTTGGCAAATGAGCTATTTTTATGTGGAAATATATTTTAGCCATGTATTGGCCCCTGTCCTAATAGCGTTAAAGTATTACATAATTCATTGTTTATTTTAGATAAGTTCTTTAAGCTGAGCCTGATAAACCAGTTTAGTTATTCGGTTAAGGAGATCTAAGCCCCCTTTTACCCCTGACGAAGGCGCACATGGATTTGCACTGAAACGTGCGTCGGGTAGTTGCTATGTTTTAAATGGGCACTTCAGCTCATGGTTTGGTTTGTCACATTTGGTGACATTTAAGCATTTTGGCTTGAATGATGGTTTCATTTATCTTTCTATTTTATCCCTAACCTTTATTTATTTAGTTAGATTTACAGGGAGAGAGACTTGCTTTATTTAACTATTTTCTACCTTGTGGTATATGTGTATTTGATATTTAATGTGCCTGCTGATTCAAATAGATATTAGAATGCATTAGCAAAAACAAATTACTTGGTATCCCAAGCAATCTAATGTAACATAGAAACATAGAAACATAGAATGTGACGGCAGATAAGAACCATTCGGCCCATCTAGTCTGCCCAATTTTCTAAATACTTTAATTAGTCCCTGATCTTATCTTATAGCTAGGATAGCCTTATGCCTATCCCACGCATGAAGGCTGTTCCATGCACCCACTACCCTCTCAGTAAAGTAATATTTCCTGATATTATTTTTAAACCTTTGTCCCTCTAATTTAAGACTATGTCCTCTTGTTGTGGTCGTTTTTCTTCTTTTAAATATAGTCTCCTCCTTTACTGTGTTGATTCCCTTTATGTATTTAAATGTTTCTATCATATCCCCCCTGTCTCGTCTTTCCTCCAAGCTATACATGTTAAGATCCTTTAACCTTTTCTGGTAAGTTTTATCCCGCAATCCATGAACCAGTTTAGTAGCGCTTCTCTGAACCCTCTCTGAGGTATCAATATCCTTCTGAAGATACGGTCTCCAGTACTGTGTACAATACTCCAAGTGAGGTCTCACCAGTGTTCTGTACAATGGCATGAGCACTTCCCTCTTTCTACTGCTAATACCTCTCCCTATACAACCAAGCATTCTGCTAGCGTTTCCTGCTGCTCTATTACATTGTCTGCCTACCTTTAAGTCATCAGAAATAATCACCCCTAAATCCCTTTCCTCATATGTTGAGGTTAGGACTCTATCAAATATTCTGTACTCTGCCCTTGGGTTTTTACGTCAAAGATGCATTATCTTGCACTTATCCACTTTAAATGTCAGTTGCCACAATTCTGACCATTTTTCTAGTTTACCTAAATCATTTGCCATTTGGCTTATCCCTCCTGGAACATCAACCCTGTTACATATCTTAGTATCAGCAAAAAGACATACCTTACCATCAAGACCTTCTGCAATATCACTAATATAAATATTAAAGAGAATGGGTCCAAGTACAGATCCCTGAGGTACCCCACTGGTGACAAGTCCAAGCTTCGAATATATTCCATTAACTACAACCCTCTGTTGCCTGTCACTCAGCCAATGCCTTACCCATTCAACAATATTTGAATCCAAACTTAAAGATTGCAGTTTATTGATAAGCCTTCTATGTGCAACAGTGTCAAAAGCCTTACTGAAATCTAGGGAAGCAATGTCTACTGCACCACCCTGATCTATAATTTTAGTTACCCAATCAAAAAAATCAATAAGATTAGTTTGGCATGACCTCCCTGAAATAAACCCATGTTGTTTCTGATCTTGAAATCCATGTGTTTTTAGATGTTCATCAATCCTATCCTTTAACATGGTTTCCATCACTTTCCCCACTACTGAAGTAAGGCTTACTGGTCTATAGTTGCCCGACTCCTCCCTATTATCTTTCTTGTAAATGGGCACAACATTCGCTAACTTCCAATCTTCTGGGACTACTCCTGTTAACAATGATTGGTTAAATAAATCTGTTAATGGTTTTGCTAGTACACCACTAAGCTCTTTTAATTGCTTTGGGTGTATTCCATCAGGTCCCATTTACTTATTTGTCTTTACTTTTGACAGTTGAAATAGAACCTCTTCATCTGTAAACTCATGTGTAATAAATGACTCATTTATCCTTTTTCTCAACTGAGGTCCCTTCAATAAATTTCCCTCCAATGTATTTACATTGTAACATGTAACATACAGGTATATATGTATACCTGTATACATTCTATAAGAACGAATATTTGAACCCTCACCCTATTAAGATATCGAACACTTTCTAGTCAGCAAAGAATCTGATATTCTGTCATTCCTGGTTAATCTTATTTTCAAACTTTATATATATTGGCCAATTGAATAAAGCCAGTTTTAATCTTTTCCCCCTTACATATATCTTTTTTCTACATTTGTTTATTTACTTACTAAGGGTGCTGTTAACATTTCCAGGTGGTATTTGTTTCACAGTCTGTGAAATAAAGTGTTTTTCCTATTTTCGGGAGTCAATGCTTTCCTATGGGGAAGGTCCAATGCGTGTGCGGCACTCCCTCTATTCGATGCAGTCGGTGGAGGTGGAGCCCAACCCATCGCCTAGGGACATTGGTGCTGGGATCAGATAAGTGTTGAAAGTGTTATTTAAACCTTTCATGGTGGTGGGGGTGGGGGAGAAGGGGACCGGGATGAGGCGTTGAGGGGGCACAGGGTTCATATAGCGTTAGGAATACAGCTTTTACACACTAACATACAATTATAAAGACTTTATTTATATTAAAAAGCAGTTTCTCCTTGTTCTATAAACAAATAGGAAAGTACAAATCAACCAGTCAGCACCTGCAACACTTTCATTTTACTATCCGTAACGTCCCAACTCCGACATATTAGGGGCATGTCCGCTGGTGCTGATCCTGGGAAAGAAACACATTTTGCTAAAAAGAAGAATTTTGCCATTTTGGGGACTCGTCTGTTGGTGACATTCCTGGGAAAGACAACTTCTTTTAAAACATTTTGCTGCAGAGAAGTGATATGATAAGCAATTATAAGTCAAGGTAGCATCAACTTTTTGGCCAGTTTGTAGTTTATAACCCCGCAAGTAGCCAGAACATTGGTCTATAGCTATACTTGTTTGTTCTCTATATCACGTAACTGCATAATGCTATTAACAAAAGGCTCCTAACTAAAAACAAACATTATTGATCATGTCCCTTTAATTCCAAAAATGTTTACTTTGTGTTAGCATAAGCAGTTTTCTCAGATTTGAATGGAAATCAGGATTAGTAAGAGAAAATAAATAGCATGATTAACACCTTGCATACTGAAATCATGGTTAGCTGTTTCCAAATGAGAATTAGATTTGCAAATGTATGCAGGACTCACGGATCTGTGCATTATATATGCATAAGTATACAGCTAATAGATGTATTTGTTTCTACCCACAAGTTTAAAAGGCCAAGTAGTTCTGAGATTTACAAGGAAAATATCATTTAAATATTCTCTTGTGACAAACAGAACATATTTTAATCACAATGCGTTTGCAAATGAGATGGGTTTTGTAACTAAAATGCTACATTAGAATTTTCAACAAATAGGATGTTTGTTTAGAAGTTTGGGGTGGTGTGTTCCAATAAAATCTCACAAAGGGTTTATTTACTAAACTGTGAGTAGCGAAGAACTTACAGGCGAACTCCATATTTTAGGGCCAAAGAGCTAATCTGGTAAAAAGCCAAGCCAAGATTTTTTTCCTGGTCACTTTCGGACAGTTCTGGTGGTTTTAGTGAATTTCTCCGAAGCAGTTTCAGACTCTGTTGTACAGAAGAACTGTTTTGTTCGTGGACTGGATAAATTCATAGACAGATAGGTGTAGACCACTCTGACAGAGAAGCCCATTTAGCACCATCTGCTGGAAAGCTCGGTGTCTGGGTCCTGGGTGGTGTTTGTGGACTTAAGTTGCAGGCATCCAGGCAAGCCCCACTAGCTACTACGTAGGACAGTCATCCAATTCCCGGGACAACTTTACGCCATTGAGAGGTTTCCTGGGCCCTATTTTGCCGCTTTCTTGTTCTCCTGTAGGTGCCACTTGTGTAGCAGTTGCTTGCCTTGTGCAGTCTAACAGCGTAGCCCAGAATCTGTCGAAGATATCTTCAAGAGTGTCAGTCTCTTTAGTACTAGGGCCTACTGTGCCAGGCTGCAGCAATTTCAGACCGTGTGTAGTTGTGCCTGATATACCGCCATCTTGGATGCCATTGCTCCCGTTCAGCTTGGGAGTTGTGCAGGGCCCACTGAAGCATCTGAGATTGTGGCAGCTCAGATCGGTGGGGACCGGGATATCCCCCACTGGTCCACAGAGAGGTGGTAGCTACGTGCGGGTGTCCCTTCGCCAGCCAGAGAACCGTTTGAAGGACCGTCTCTCCTCAGCTCCCACTCGTTTAGTCCGCAGGCCTCAATTTGGACAGCTCAGCTGTGGGGAACCTCAAGACGTCGAGTATCCCCGGGTGCAGTGATGTTCTCCAGTCAGGAAGATTGCTATTTGCAGCCAGTGTGCTACTGAGTGGTCCGGCAGTAAACCCAGAATATTGGCCCAAGCTCTTGGCAGGTTCGTCTGGTCCGCTTGGAATTCAAGCTCCGCCCCCAAAGCCAAGTTATTTCTAATCGCTGTAATAAGTGGAATTTAAACCCCTACATCTCAGAAGATGAGGATAACCAAACCTCCCAACATTGGTATCCGATGAATTGGGAAGCTGGTGGATGGAGTAAAAGGGGGTGGGCCAGTGATGCAAATCATGTCACTGGTACTGTCCAAAGAGGATGGACCTGGCTGGAAAGGGGGTGGATCCGCCTGGATAAGTGGCAGATCCGCCTGGCCTCAACGCATGCCAAGCTGTCTATCATCCAGGCCAGCCAATCAGGGCAGATCATGCATAGGCCACTGTTTCAGTGCTGTCTGCAAGATCCTATTGCCCTTAGCGTAGCGCTATGCATTTTAGGGACAGTTTCCTGGTGCCCCCAAAAGCAGTTCACTAGTGATGGGGCAGAACCCTAAAATCAGTACTGTCCCACCCAAATCGGAATGATTGGGAGAACTGCAACCGTTCTAATTATAAATCCACTCAGAGTATTTTGTAAATGGAATTGCAAATCATGTGCCAAAACTGTCAGGCTGAGTAATAGAAGGTTAGATATTATGGCCTAAAATTAACAAATCTTTGGTATCCTGAAAATGACCAGCTTCGTGAATACCTGTTTGTCTTATGGCTGCAATGCTCTTTTTGTACAGCTTTTATAATCCTCTATTTTCAATGATTTCAAGCAATCAACAGCCAAAAAAGTGACTTGCTTGCGTGGCACTCACACGGTTAATGGCTTTGGTTTTTCTGCATTTATGGAACTGCTTTGTGGTGACGATCCATCTTTAAAAGTGCCCACCAGATACATTGACTGCACAGGAAAAACCTATTGTGTATAACGGAGCAGGGAATGAGCAAGGCATTACGATAGCAATCTTGTTTATGAGAATGCTAAACATTATTTATTTATTTCAGCCGTGGAAATGAGACACTTTAGCAGACATTTAAATCCAATCTGTCATCGCTAAATTAAAGTAACAATGTTACCGTGCTGAGCGTGGCGGGCAACGACCAGCTCTGCTGTGCCAGGTTACCTTCAGGTAATCAATAACATTTAATCTATACATTGTGCAAGTGAAAAGCTAGTGTGATACCAATGGTGAGTGGAAATCAACCGGATTCACACAGACCTAAGGCTTTTCCAACTATAATAACTGTATCAAATCTAATAAACATCCTCAGTGTGTGTGCAATGCTTTAACGCTTTCTCTGTTTGTTCCTTTGCAATTTTCAGTAAAGCATTTTATTAACCAACGATCCAGTGTTCTGCATTGTTTACAGTTTTATATGAAGGCTTGGGGGTTTGTTGGGCATCATGTGAACATTTGTTCTGTGCCAACGTCAGCAATCACTGGGTTATAGAACAATTCTCACTGTATTAGCTTTATAAATATATATAGGAAATTATAAATAAATCATGGCATGAATAAGGGTAAAATCTATGTTATTTGCAATAAAGCATTCATTCATTTAAAGCGTGCAATTCAGTAGGTTGATGTAAAGTGTAAAGACACTAATGTGCTAGGACTAGTTTGGCACCAGTTAAA